TGTGAATTAAAATGGCATTTGTTGTTTTTAGAGGGGTTATTTTTATTATAAGTTCAACCAAACCTCCAACTCCATTAACTCGAAGAACAAAGTAATTTTATGGCCCGACATTGTCCCTCAAAGAATTGGTGCTTGTTTCGAACAGCGGATGAGTACATATATCGTGATTTTCACAAATATTTCTGTGTACGATTAATTTCTTTGTTTTTTACGTTTCAATCAGATTGTATTTTTGCACATAATCAGCAATATTCCAGCTATATGACAGCAGTCTGTAAATAATCGAGTCTGGACAAGACAATCCAGTGACTGACATCATGAGCATCGATCCACGCGTACGATGGGATACGATGACATGCATCAACCAAGTCAGCGAGCCTGACCAACCGATCCCGTTAGTCGCCTCTTACGACAAGCATAGTCGCCTTTTACGGCAAGCATGGGTTGCTGAAGACCTATTCTACCCCGGATCTTCACGGGTCGTTTTAATAAGATATGGTCATTGTGATTTGAAACTTGTTATGTCCGAGTATTTTTTAAATTATTTCTAGAATCAGTATTTTGTTATTTAGTAAATGTTATTTAAAGCATCACTTCAGTAATACCCCAGCACTACCACGACGGTATGTAAATAATTGAATCTGGCTAACACATTTGTGATTGATATTATGAGTCCCAAAGTCCCTCGCCGTCAGAGCACAATGACACGCCAAGTCACCAAGATCATGTATATGATAAGATATCAACAAATACATAACGCGACAAATCTCTGCATAAAAGAGTCGATTCCGACTGTGTTATTAGCATGTATTTATGAATCACTGTCCAATAGTGATGACACCAGGTGTTCGCGAAAAGATGAGCGTATCCTGCCAAACCGGTGGCACCTGTCACAAACAACAAACACATGCAAAGGCAAGTCAATTGCAAATCGAGGTGCTGATGAGTTTCGAACTGTACTACATGCAAAATATCAAATGTTAATACCACCGCGATGAGGCTCGTGCTAACTTCTGATGAGCTTTCGTAAAAATCATATTGAATGTTACCGACGCCTTTGTAACGAAAGTCAAAATTGTATATTTTTCTTTTTTCATCAAAGAAACACATTTTCCTTCAACTAAACCGACACATGGAAAGGAGCTTGTCGCCACGTGAAATCTGCAATTGGTTTTATCCGTGTTTCTTTTATTGACATAAGAGATACATCAAAGCCTAAAGATGCCGTTTGATTGTATGAGGGGCGGTAGGGTAGCCTGGTGGTTAAAGTGTTCGCTCGTCAGGCTGAAGACCTGGGTTCGATTCCCCACATGGATACATTGTGTGAAGATCATTTCTGGTATTCCCCGCCGTAATATTGCTGGAATATTGCAAAATGCGGCGTAAAACCTCACTCACTCATTGTATGGCCGGTCTTCTGGTAGCATATACTAAAACACTGACGGCCGTTAACAACGCCAGGATCTTTAAGTCGTGAAATGTACCTAATTGCATATACTGACTAATATATACACATCCTATTTCTCCCAGGAGATGTTATTGTAGCAACAGATTAATTTCAATGGAATATTTTCGTTTGGCTCACGGATCACCAGTTGATATCACTTACATTTTTAAGATTAGAATCAGCAATCTGTGCAATAGTCTTCATCGTACTGTACATGGGCGTATTGCAAACACTATAAATGATGTATAAATGTTAAAAACTTTTCCAAGGCATGTCGACCGCCACCGTGGTCTAGTGGTAGAGCGTCCGCCCGGAGATGGAAGGTCCGGGGTTCGATCCCCGGCCGCGTCATACCAAAAGACGTTAAAAGATGGTACTTGTTGTCACCCTGTCTGGCGCTCGGCATTAAGAGCTAAAACAAGGACTGGTCGGTTCGGAGTCAGTATACTGTGTCTGAGTGGGGTATTCATGCTAAACTGCGGTATAGAATCTCAGCGTGCCAGCACAATTAATCGACATTATTCTGGATAAGCACATACTACGCTATATAAGTGCAATAATCTTGGACGCGACGTAAAACCCCATTTCACCTCATCCCAAGGCATGTCTGATATTTGTCAAAATTTGTTTGCGAGTTGGTGATTCTGCTCAAGCAACGACAAGACGGAGAGAGACGTATCAGTGAAAAATAAATATTGCGTCTGTGCAGTTAAGTACATTCCTTGACGTCAGTACATAATTATCATCCGATATGTGTATGCCAACGATTATTGAAAATGGAAAAAAACACATGTTTAACAGAATAAGGGAAATGATTTGCCTTCATTCCCAATATAAAGTGTTGTCAAAAAAGGCGGTGGATATCCGAGTGGTTCGATTCCCCATATGGGTAGAATTAGTAAAGTGTTTTTAGCCGTGGTATTGCTGGAATATTTCAAGAAGCAGCGTAAAACCATACGCACGCACGCACACGCACGCACACGCACAATCACTCAGAAGAGGCGAACTGAGGCAAACCCTCAGAGACGAATCTTAATAAATGAAAAACGCACCTTTTCGCGAACACCCGATGTCATCCGATTTTAATGACACTCATGATATAAGTCTGAATTGTACAATCGACTGTTTTGATCAGACATTTCTTATTAATATGGAAGGAGTTTTGTCGCTTTTTATCAAAATGGATAAAATCACATTCAAGCATATAAATATGCCATCAGTGACAATTTTAGATTCTTTTATATACACACACAGCGGATATCCCTAACTTTATACTCCAATAGTTTGTGATTTGTAAGATAACGAACGATGCATTTAACAGACGTACCCACTTAACTTTCTTTTCAAACGACCAGTTCACATATTTCCACTATAAAGTTCGCTTGGTGGGTATAACGTAGCTATAAGCAAACATGCAAAGTCATTGTAAGTGTGTTGTTGATACGGAAGAGCACCTCGGGGAAAATATACACTTATCTAGGCAAGTAATCGTTAACAGGTACGTGTTAATATGTCGGATATGGCTTCCTGGTCAAGGTAATGATTTCAAGTTTACTCGGGAGTTGAGTGACTTTGAAGATGCCATGTCATGTTGGTTTTGATTCACTGGCTGCAAAAAAAGAATATGTACATAGAAGCTACAAGAACATTTCCATAAAGCCTTCACGCATCAGTGACAAAAATTATGTTCGATGCAATTCCCTTTATTGACCTGTCCAACGTGTTCTCTTGGATTTCTTTAGATGGACAATTTGCTTGCCTTTGCATGTGTTTGTGATGATTGCCACAGGTGGGGAAGGATAGATTGCCTCAAGTTTTCGCGTACTCCTTGTATCGTCATTTTATATTTAATTGTAATTAAAAACATATGCTTACGACACAGTTGGAATCGTACAGTAGCGAATTCTTGAAATGGAAAGGGTTTTTTCCCTTTTATGTAACGACGTATACCTAATACAAGATAACGAATAGGAAATATACATATAGAATCGCCCCACCACCATGGCTGCAGCTACCTTTTTTCTATCGAAGTAACTCTAATATGAAGTGGGTTCTGAAATTTGTTCGTTACAATTAATCATTATGTATTTTCTCTTTAGATATCAGAAACTTATCCATAATAGATATACAGAAAACTACGTTTATAACGAACACGCTTATAACGAACTTGTGGATATAACGAACTGTTTTTTTGCCCTGGACATTTGCTGTGTAAATGTTGTATATATGCGTATAACGAACAATGGTTATAACGAACTAAAATTATGGTCCCTTTGAGTTCGTTATAACCGTAGTTTACTGTACAATATTTTAAGTAGTATAGATGAATAATCATGAGTATCATAATACTTCCTTTCAAACAAGAACTGGCATGGGTGACGTACATGCAATACTGTACCTTCTGTAGTGTTGACGTGCTATCTGATGATGACAAACATGGTACAGGTTTTAGGATGACAACGTCACCACTGTGTCAAAAAATGACGTTAAAGTAAGATGTTTACTTAATACATAGTTAATGGAATAATAATAACGATGAAACATAAAACAGCAATAAATGCGATGTTTAATATGCCATCAATGACGTTACATAAAAGCGACAAAAACATTCCATGAATATAAGAATTCTTTACCAGTGAGTGAGAGAGTTTTACGCCGCTTTTAGCAATATTCCACCAATATCACGGCGGGGGACACCAGAAATGGGCTTCACACATTGTACCCATGTCGGGAATCGAACCCGGGTCTTCGGCGTGACGAACGAACGCTTTAACCACCTGGCTACCCTCCCGCCCCGAATTATTTACTAAAATCAGTCAAGTGAACGATTCCGATTATAAAATAAGCAAGTGTTCATGAAAAATAGCAAAGAGTGACGGTGTCAGGTGTTCGCGAAAAGGTGAGCGCATCCTGCCCCAACGGTGGTAGCCGTTACAAACACATGCAAAGTCAAGTCAATTGTTCACCTGACAAAACACGGGAACATGTGGTACAAGCCAAAATAGGAAATGACATCGGCCATAATGTTCGTCATTGATGCGTCAAGTTTTGGAAAGCCCCTCATCCAACAACTTTAGAGCAAGAGTCGTATGACGCACTTTGAAATCTTCGTAGAAAGAGCATGCTCGATTGTAACTCAAAAGTTGTGCAAGGTAGACATCAAAGGCTAGCCCATCTAGAACATTAAATATTGCTCGCCATGCAGGGAAAGTTGACAACTGGAAAATTATATTTCATACAGGCAGGGACGCGCATGGCTTTCCGTCTAAGCTTAATGGACGGCTTATAATATGCTCCAAAACATGATATCATCGAATGCTGGTACTTGTGTACCAAGTCCGATACCTTTGCACTGACCAGCAGCTGATTGAGCCATCTTATACCATACATAATAACAACTAAATCAACACAGTAAGTGTATATTGATGCTATCAATAGGTTAGTAGACCCCTACTGTGAGCCTTCATGCATGTGTGATCTACAATCAAGAGCCCGAGGCGACGGCTAGTCGGTAAGATGATGTCGAGGGACCTTGACCTGATTATCGGGGGAGAAAGTAAATCCTGGCTTACCACGGTTCTACAACACAGCTTGCATTGAGGCCTTGTCACACATCCCCCCATCACTCATTCGGGACGCAGTGTTGACCATTGACGGCTCATACAGCTGCATTCTGACATATACAACCGTGTCACGGGCATCAGGGCAATTGACATCAGTCAATCACAGCCTCCTGTTGTGTGTATGTATCCGTACCTTCTCTTTGAACTGTCATCTACAACAGTTAGTGTGAACTTGGTGAAATTGACTTTGACAGAAGGTGCATCGTTTCAGTTCACGGTTTCTCCCATATTGAACCTCTGTGTTCAATGGAACAGGTTATAACGTGCTCAGAAATTACAACCGGCTATCTGTCATTACTGCAGTCTACCGTTAGATGACGAGCTGAAACTGATGACCACAGCAAATTATCAGAAGTAGAAGTTGACCTGGTCCTTCACAACCTCATCAATCTCAGACTCGACCGTCTTGCCCACTTGGGCGATAGCTGTTAAACATGTATCGACGAACATGGAAGCCTGACTGTTTATTGTGAATTGGGATACACTGAAGACATTAATTATCAGTAAAGTGAAGTCACCTAGGACCAGAAAACAGATTGTTACTATCGTTTGAAATCAGATTGATAAGTGTACAACACCTGCTCATAAGAGTCTGTGAGATCACACATCGGAACTGGCGATCCGCTCAATTAATATTATCCTGTTATATTTGACGCGTCAGATAATCAACCATCCCGTTGATTTACACCTGTTGGGGGAACGTTGAACCTAACGTTGGCCGTGCTACGGGAGTGCAGGTGGAGCAATCATCGCACCTGGCGCAGATGTTGTCATAGCCGAGTGTAACAGTGTGAAGCCAAGCCCTAGCTCGGTCACATCCTAATATTGACGCCCGGGCCTACTGCTAACACAGAAACATCCACACTACTACCGTTTCCTCTACCAATTGTCAACACCGTCGGTGGCCCGTCCACTTCCCCGCCACAACATCGTGAGAAGACGTGCAAGACCCCGGCACTCTCATACCTCTCCTGGACGATTGCACAGGTAGGACACACTTTCACCTGTGTTGTGTCATTGGCTGTGGTTAGAACTATATGAACAGGATTTAGGAACTTTAATCCAAATCTAACTGTAGCCTTTGGCATAAATGTATCGTTTCAAACAAAATCAACTAACCCTTTGTTGCAAGTGTTCTTCGTGATGTTACATTTGAACATTTGAGTTTATATTTCTTGACCATGTAAATGCTGCAGTCGTGATATCTCGCCTGCTTTGTAATACGTCAATGCCATCTGTTAAACAGTGTTAAACCTACTGCTGTGTGTACATTGCAGGGTCTGTAGTCAGACATCGGACGATAACATGGTTACTTTTATTGCATTTTTATGACATACACGAAGACCAATGTTATTGTTTCGCAATAGAGGTTTGTTCTGTATAATCAGTTCAGGGTTTAATAGCCGTCATAGAGTTCAACACAGTGTAGGTTTCGCTGCTGTAACCAATACATGTGCCTGGTATGGGTGTGTTTGAACATCTTGAACTCATTAAGATACAGAGGGTTTCGTGTAGCTGTAGCTCACGAGCTAAGACAATGACGTTAGCATACAGCTCCAATCCTCAGAGATTTGTATATATATGTCCGATCGTGCCAGCGTGACACTGTCGAGATGTTAGTCCATCTTTAATGCTTAAAATATTCACAATAATCAAAAGATAGAGAATATTTCCTGACAGGACAACTCTCAAAAGTTACGTTCAATATCTTCTATGTGGGATATTTCTGTTTTGTTTATATTTTAATTTCTTGAATCTTGATAAAAATCTTTATAATTTATTTCAAAATGTATTAGCAAATAAATATGAGCCGTTACCTTAACCTATATGGATAAAAGTTAACGTCTTAAACCTATCCTTAATTACGGAAGGCAAGGTGATGTTATGTGTCCTATTGTTTTAACATCAAAGTGACACTTTCTCGTTACTTCCCCATACCAAAACTAATACTTGTAATAACACAACAAATTCGTCGTCCAACGCATATCTTCCTAATTACTAACTGACCAGGGGCGGTCGGGTAGCCTAGTGGTTAAAGCGTTCGCTCGTCACGCCGAAGACCCGGGTTCGATTCCCGACATGGGTACAATGTGTGAAGCCCATTTCTGGTGTCCCCCGCCGTGTTATTGCTGGAATATTGCTAAAAGCGGCGTAAAACCATACTCACTCACTCACTAACTGACCTCCTCATGCTTGAGGTCAAACAATCACAATGACAAGGGTCGCTGTTCACAAGTCCACGTAATTATTTTATAGTTTATCAGAGTAATTAGCGCCGAGGAAATACCATTGTTTGCATCAAGTGGAGATTGTTTAGTCCACATTTTTTTCTCAAACTGTGGCTTAAGCTATTTGTAATAAGGATAAATCCTCATTTCACAAATGTAAATAATGTATACAGGTACATATCCTCTCGCGCTGCACTTGTTGGTGTAATATTTAAAGGGCGAACCAGTTGTGTTATGATTACTGTGTTTGGCTATGATCATTTTCATGCCAATGATAATATGTTACAGGGCGTTTGAGGTCATAATTATTGATGGTTATCATAGGACAAATAACGAGGTTGTGTGTTGTTGGACAACACTTCCGCTCACCTCTTCCTGTGTTGTGAACAAACACTTCCTGGCTCACGCCCACTGTCATATAGTGCTCATTAAGAATGACAAATCTTAACAAGCATCATTTATACTACATTGTGTGCAAAGAGTAGTAAAGAAATTAGCATTATGTTATAAGCATTAATATTTTTTACCAAAAAACACAAACTCAATATTGCTATACTTAAGACCATATAAACTATTGTAGATTTTCGCAGAAGAAAGGACAAAATTTGACCGTTCGGTTTAAAGAGGTTTTATTGTATTACTTGGTCAACATCATATATTGGAACCATAATGCTCCCTTAATCGATATCCCCAGCAATCAGTGATACAACTGTTATTAGAACTTGATTCCAACAAAGAACGGTAAAAATGCTGTTTGTTACCGTCCTTCGGATAATCTTAGGGGCAGTTTCACTTTAAGACATGTTAAACTTCTACAAACTTTTTATTCATTGTGACACGTTAATGATAGCCATGGTTGGCGGTACAGATTTGTGGCAGAGGCTTTGAAACATTAACACTGGCGTGAATGCCTCCACATATGACAAGATTTAACCTAAAATATCTCCCTAAACTATGGTTAATCCGTGACCCTCCTCAACAACAACTTGGGAAGGCCAGAGGACTTTTCGACAGCCTTGGAAGGGGATTTCCTCCGCCTCGCTTCAGCATCTGTGTGCCACATTCCCCCCGTCGAGTTCCGCGTTGTGGGGAGGAGGCAATGGTCAACAGGGTCGTGTTTGAAGAGTGTGAGACCAGTTTGCTCCTCATATCGTTACAACGCTCCCGTGATGTCCCGCAGCTGATCACGTCTCTCCGGACAGGGACGTTGTAGTCACTGCCATCATCGTACAAGGTTCAGGATGTCGCGATATCTGGACCATGACGTAGTCGTGTCGATGTCGTCGCTGGTGGCGCTGGTTGGCGTACATGACATACTTGCGGTGAGCCGGCGGTGACTCACTGAGAACATGACAGTGTGAAGAGCCTGCGACTCTTGTCACGGACCCACACAAGTTTCTATTGTCTCGCGCTGACCTGACGGGGTGCTGTCTTACACCGGACCGCTGACTCAGCACTTGCGGCACATTACTTTCTACATGTGGAGCACGCGTGACATACAGATGATCACAGGTCATCTTTCACAGTACATTCAACCAAAGACATATATAGATACACCAGCATCGGTGGAAACACGAGAGTCTGATAAACAGGGAATCTGAATCTGAAGTGATACGGAGATGGATTGTTAATAGACATCCACATGGATGATGGCTGGATGGTTGGTCGATGGGCATACAGACGGGTGGGTGACTGGGCTAGCGGGTGGGCTGGGTGGTTGGCTAGGTTGACGGGTGTGTAGGTAGAATTGTACCAATAGTCAGTGGATGTATTGGTGTGTAAATAGAAACGGGTATGTGCACCATTCGGTAAAGTAGATCTGTCAGTAGACGCTTGCCCGAGGGAGTAGTGAGGAAGGGACAGACAGAAGGAGGTAGATAGGTAGGGTTGTTAGGGAGGGATGGTAGATAGGGAGGGAGTTTAGATAGGGAGGGAGGGTAGATAGGTAGGAGAGGTTTGTTTGGTTTGGTTTGTTTGTTGTTTAACGCCGCAGTCAGCAATATTCCAGCTATATGACGGCGGTCTGTAAAAAATCGAGTCTGGACCAGACAATACAGTGATTGATATCATGAGCATCGATCCACGCAATTGGGATCGATGACATGTATCAACCAAGTCAGCGAGACTGACCACCCGATTCCTTTAGTCGCCTTTTACGACAAGCATAGTCACCTTTAACGGCAAGCATGGGTTGCTGAAGACCTATTATACCCCGGAATCTTCACGGGTTAAAGGTAGATAAGGAGGGAATGTATATAGGGAGGGAGGGTAGATTGGTAGGCGTGGTAGATAGGTTCGAGCGGTAGATAGGGAGGGATGGTAGATAGGGAGGGATGGTAGATAGATTCGAGCGGTAGATAGGGAGGGATGGTAGATAGGGAGGGATGGTAGATAGATTCGAGCGGTAGATAGGGAGGGATGGTAGATAGGTTGGAGCGGTAGATAGGGAGGGGGGTAGATGATAGATGGATAGGGGTGTAGATAGGGAGGGATGGTAGATAGGTTGGAGCGGTAGATAGGGAGGGATGGTAGATAGGTTGGAGCGGTAGATAGGGAGGGATGGTAGATAGGTTCGAGCGGTAGATAGGGAGGGATGGTAGATAGGTTGGAGCGGTAGGTAGGGAGGGATGGTAGATAGGTTGGAGTGGTAGATAGGGAGGGAGGGTAGATAGGTTGGAGCCGTAGATAGGGAGGGGGTAGATGATTGATGGATAGGGGGTGTAGATAGGGAGGGATGGTAGATAGGTTCGAGCGGTAGATAGGGAGGGATGGTAGATAGGTTGGAGTGGTAGATAGGGAGGGAGGGTTGATAGGTTGGAGCGGTAGATAGGGAGGGATGGTAGATAGGTTGGAGCGGTAGATAGGGAGGGGGGTAGATGATAGATGGATAGGGGTGTAGATAGGGAGGGATGGTAGATAGGTTGGAGCGGTAGATAGGGAGGGATGGTAGATAGGTTGGAGCGGTAGATAGGGAGGGATGGTAGATAGGTTCGAGCGGTAGATAGGGAGGGATGGTAGATAGGTTGGAGCGGTAGGTAGGGAGGGATGGTAGATAGGTTGGAGTGGTAGATAGGGAGGGAGGGTAGATAGGTTGGAGCGGTAGATAGGGAGGGAGGGTAGATAGGTTGGAGCGGTAGATAGGGAGGGGGGTAGATGATAGATGGATAGGGGGGTGTAGATAGGGAGGGATGGTAGATAGGTTGGAGCTGTACATAGGGAGGGATGGCTGATAGGTTGGAGCGGTAGATAGGGAGGGAGGGTAGATAGGTTGGAGCGGTAGATAGGGAGGGGGGTAGATGATAGATGGATATGGGGTGTAGATAGGGAGGGATGGTAGATAGGTAGGCGTGGTAGATAGGGAGGGAGGGTAGATAAGGAGGGGTAGTAGATATGGAGGGATGGTAGATAGGTAGGCGTGGTAGATAGGGAGGGAGGGTAGATATGGAGTGGTAGATATGGAGGGACTATTTCATCAGCATTTGTTTATGGATCACTATCAAGTAGTGATGATACCAGGTATCAGCCAAAGTTTAGCATTTCCTGCCCCACCGTTGACATCCATTACAAATACATGCAAAGGCAAGTCAAATGTTCAACTGCACAAAAATCGGCATCAAAGTAAAACTAGCGCGTCGCGTAACGCATAAACGTTAGATACACCTGTTCAACCCACAACTCATACCGGATGCGACAGATGCATGAAGCGTCCTCGCCCACTCATGACATCGTCGTGGGGTAATAGCGAAGACGTCAACGGTG